GCCACATAACCCTGCCAGCTTCCTGATGGCAAAAAATGTAGCCATTTCTGCACTTTCCACTAATCACACAAGCCCACACACAATAGAAAACACCTCCCTAGGACTGCATAATCACAAAACAAACCCAAGTATAACTTATGGCTTGAACCTTACACAAAACACTACACACTTATATAACTGCTCTTTTTTTCTATGATTTTTTTTTTTTTCAAAATATTCAGGGCGCTGCGCAAGTGAACATATATATACTTTTGGACCGTTTAAGGGTTAAAGCAGGAGTCTATAAAGGCTATAGCGCCAGCAAATAATAGCAGTTAACTTCACTGATAAGGTGTAGCATTATGAGTATAGCAACTGAATTTAGTAATTAAGTGATAGTATCTCTTCTCCACCATCAACCTCTGCAAGCGTCTCTTCGCCAAGGTAAATGCTGTAGTACTACATACACCAGTTTTATTTCTTTACATTATGTTTTCCTTACGAAAATGTAGTGATCTAATACAGATAGCCTTCACAAACACTGTTTTCTCTTATAACAAGAGCATGGGAAGATATTATAGACAGTGGGAAAGTAAATGGCTGACGCTGCCGCCACTGCTGTCGACGCCATCACTTGCCATGTTATGGCCTATTTTATTGATTCTAGAGAATATATCATGTTTCTATGTTATTAATATAGTTTATTACACCATATTAGATGAACTGTGACATAAGTAAGCTGTAGAGTTGATATTAGAGAAATATTGAAGTATTTTGCTGTGCCTCCTGAGAGCAGGAATTCTGCCGGAACGAATTACAGAGGTCCCTCAATAATCGTCCATAATCCGTTCCTGGAAGTGGGACTATTATTGAAATAGACGATTTACGAATCAATTTTCCCCATAAGAAATAATATAAATTCAATTAATCCGTTCCTGACACCCAGAAGTATTAAAACAAAAAATTTTTTTACATGAAATATAGATGTAGTACATAAACAATACAGTGGCACATGATGAATTAAACATTAACAGAATAACACTTACCTTTATTGGCAATTCTTCTTTGTGTATGGAAGACTGGAGAAGGAGACTAATTGGATGAATTACTGTTTGGAAGGGGAATCCCCTTCCATCAACACCTCGGGTACCAATTGCTTTTCTGGGGTTACTTCTCTTCTCTGTTTCTTAATGCCACTAGGACCACCTTGAGAGTAACTGGAGTCCTGTCTCGCAAAAAAACTGTCCAGAGAGCTCTGTTTCTGGCATCTCTCTAAAACTTCCCTAAAATGGGCCAAGACTCTGTCACTGTACAAGTTGCCGAAATGGCTTGCAACATCCTTCTCTGGGTGATGTTTCTCCATAAATCTTTCCATCCTACCCCACATTTCAAAAATCTCCTTAATTTCTGAAGAAGGCACCTTCCTCCATCTCTCTTCCTCCTCCTCTGCAGCAAGATTCTGAGCTGCGATCTGTTGCTCTTCCTGCTGAAGCTCTTGCAGCTCCTCAGTGGTTAGCTCTTTGTTGTGGTCCTCCACCAACTCTTCCACATCCTCCAAACTCACATCCAACCCCATGGAACTCCTCAGTGCCACAATGGATTTAACAACTGACATAGGCTCATCAGGGTCAGCCCCAAACCCTTCAAAATCCCTCTTGTCGACACAATCTGGGCACAATTTTCTCCAAGCAGAGTTCAAAGTCCTGGTAGTCACTCCCTCCCAAGCCTTACCTATAAGGCTTATGCAATGGAGAATACTGAAATGTTCTTTCCAAAAATCTCGTAGGGTCGAGTGTCTGAGGTCACATTAAAGCACCTTTCAAACATTGCTTTGGTGTAGAGTTTTTTAAAGTTTGCAATGATCTGCTGGTCCATGGGCTGGAGGAGAGGAGTGGTATTTGGGGGCAAGAACTTTACTGTGATGAACCCAAACTCCTTCAGAATTAGGTCATCCAAGTTTGGAGGATGAGCAGGTGCATTGTCCATTACTAGGAGGCACTTGAGATCCAATTTCTTTTCCAGGAGGTAATTCTTCACACTAGGGCCAAACACTTCATTGAACCACTCTACAAAAATTTCCCTCGTGACCCATGCCTTACTATTAGATTTCCAAAACACACACAATTTACTCTTCATAACATTGTTTTTCTTGAACACTCTGGGATTTTCAGAATGGTACACTAGTAACGGCTTCACTTTGAAATTCCCACTAGCATTAGCACAGAACATTAGCATCAGCCTGTCTTTCATAGGCTTGTGTCCTGGCAGCGCCTTTTCTTCCTGAGTAATGTAGGTCCTCTTTGGCATTTTCTTCCAAAAGAGGCCTGTTTCATCACAATTGAACACTTGTTCAGGTTTCAGTCCTTCACTGTTTATGTACTCCTTGAATTCCTGCACATATTTTTCAGCCGCCTTGTGGTCCGAACTGGCAGCCTCACCATGCCTTACCACACTGTGTATGCCAGTACGCTTCTTAAATCTCTCAAACCAGCCTTTGCTGGCCTTAAATTCACTCACATCATCACTAGTTGCAGGCAATTTCTTTACCAAATCGTCATGCAACTGCCTAGCCTTTTCAAAAAATAAGCGACGTCAAAAGGGACTATCTCCTGCTAATTGTTTCTCATTTATCCACACCAATAATAACTTCTCAACATCTTCGAGTACTGGTGATCTCATTTTTGTCAGCATATTTACCCCCTTTGTAACAGCAGCATCCTTGATTTCCTTTTCTTGGTTTATGATGGAAGATATGATTGTACGGGATTTGTTATACATCCTGGGCCCTTCGCCCACACGTACCCATAATCATATTGTTCAATGATGTTTTTCTTAAATTCAATCGTATTTCTCACCTTCTTTACCAAAGGCTTGGCACTAGGAGCTTTCTTTGGAGCCATGGTAGCTTATTTAGCACTTAAAAAACTTGCAAGCACTAAAATAAATGGAATATTATGAAATATTACGCTGGAGCACGTGAGGGGACCGTCGCTCACTGGTAAACAATGGCACACTGGCTGGGAAGGAAAGGCCGAGGCGGCTCCCAGCGGCTCAGAGCGTGAGTATGCGTCCGGGATGAAGGACTATTAGCGCGTTACCGGACCATTTCCGAGCCAATATTTTGACGAAAAAACAGGACTATTTCCGAAATGGACAACTTTCAGACCGGACGATTATTGAGGGACCACTGTAATGCCTTTTCAATTAATTTAAATGAGGAAAATTAACCCAGCATACAAACAAGGTCACAGAAAGGATTAAATTCGCAAGGCTCTGGTGGCCTGGTGGTTAACGCTCTCGCTTCACACGGTGAGGGCCTGGGTTCGATTCCCAGCCAGAGTAGAAGCATTGGACGTGTTTCTTTCCACCTGTTGTCTATGTTCCCCATCAGTAAAATGGGTACCTGGGTGTTAGTCGACTGGTGTGGGTCGCATCCTCGGACACTGAACTAAGGAGGCCTGGTCACAGACCAGGCCGCGGGGGCGTTGACCCCGGAACTCTCTCCAGGTAACTGTATTACAATTTCAAAATTGGGTTGAGCATAAGCAATACAGACATTTCTTGCATTAAAATAACATTTCCTCTGTTGTGTTTTTTTTTTTTTACACAGGGTTTGACATGGTTAGGTTAAGGATCCCTAGCTTTATTGACAAGCTATTTACAGGTTAAGGATTCTTAACTTTATTGGCAAGCTAAGAGCTGTTACCTACATCAGCTCATTTGAAAGCATTTTTATTATGAGACAAAAGTAGGGAACAGGATGAAGTTGGAGCCATCTGTGGGCCAGCATTTTCATGTGATCAACTGACTATCTCGTTGACATCATTATGCTGTACGAATGTGTTCCATACTCGAGTCATCCTGGGTATATATATATGATCTCAGATGGAGTGATGTTCTGGAGAAGGGTACAGCCAGAGTGAAGTTGCTGCTTTCTGCCCGTCTTATGGCATAAAACCTTGTTTCACGCTGTCCTCGAAGTGGATCCAAGTGTGGTACTTTGACAACATTGGCCTTGTACATAACAGTAAGGCCAACCACATCCCTCCATTGTTGAAGGCTCTGCTGAAATGACAGATCTATCCAGGATGGGTCCAGGCGAGAGATGAGACGTCTTGCTCTGTTCTCTACTCTGTCAAGCAGTTACAGATGGGGGGGGGGGGTGCAGGCAAACCATTAGTAATGTTCCCAGGATTTACACGTAAATTCCATTTTCATTTTCTATTAAAAGAATTTTTATTCACACCAAAATAGAAGACTTATGAAATACCATAGTTCGAGGCTCAAAAGACTTGTTTTAGTTTGAGTGGCTTGGCATCGGATGTAACTGGGAGAGACACAGTCCACCCCACACCCCAAACTTATAGGTTCTCTCACTGACCTTCAGTTTATAGGGTGGTTTTTGGAGATATTTTATGAAAAAAAAAAAAAAAGTGTCTAATAAACTGCAAAATGCGGTATTCTGTTATAGTTAACAGATGGTACTCACTCCAGCAAACACAAAACAGTAATTACTTTAATGGTAAGTGCACCTCTTACGTATTTTCTTTCTCTAAACAATTTTTTTTTTTAACAAGTCGGCCGTCTCCCACCGAGGCAGAGGCACCCAAAAAGAAAGAAAATATTTTCATCATTCAACACTTTCACCTCACTCATACATAATCACTGTTTTTGCAGAGGTGCCCAGAATACAACAGTTTAGAAGCATATACGTATAAAGAATACAACATATCCCTCCAAACTGCCAATATCCCAAACCCCTCCTTTAAAGTGCAGGCACTGTACTTCCCATTTCCAGGACTCAAGTCCGGTTATATAAAAATAACCGGTTTCCCTGAATCCCTTCACTAAATATTACCCTGCTCACACTCCAACAGCTCGTCAGGTCCCAAATACCATTCGTCTCCATTCACTCCTATCTAACACGCTCATGCACGTTTGTAAAATAGTGTCAAGTGTTAACACTGTTGGAGGAACACACTGCAAAGTACTCTTTACTGAGGAAACAAGATAAACATGGGTGCATTTTTGTAACATCACTTTACCTTATCCATTGTGAAACCAGTGTAAGCATGGATGCCAAACATTTCTCGTAATGTATCTTCGTATGCTGTGGATTCCAAATTGCCATCCAGAACATTCTTCACCATATCTAACATGGCTGGGTAATAGTCTTCAATAGCTATTTCATCTGAAATATATATAAAATGTTACATTCAAGTTAACTAAATAATAGCCTTCTTGATCTTAAGCATATCAATTTGACTGCATATACTGATTGCAAAGTATTCTGCTTCAAAATAAGTGTGTCAATATACAGGACTGAAGAACATGAAGCTTTATTAAGAGGTAGCCTACATCATGGAAGGAGAGGACTCCACATAATCAAAGTTTTAATAGAGCATAAGGAAAAAACAACAGTAAGAAGAGCCTATTCCAGGAGGAAAAAGAATTTCAATAAAATTCTTATGCCTCAGCCCCTCCAAAACTGAAACAAAGTTCATTGCAGGAAAATGTAATAAACATGGGATTTATATATCTATAATATCAACGTATGAATCCCACTTCCATAAAATGGGAAGGCATCTGATTTGTTAGGATGGTTAAGAAATATCTATGGAGTAAGTTGAAGGCAATCAATGTCAACCCTTTCAGGGTCCCCAGGCCCTCTCCCAGACTTGTTCTCAGGGTCGCACAAATTAAAAAAAAAAAAAAAAAAAAAAAAAAAAAAAAAAAAAAAAAAAAAAAAAAAAAATCTTATCTTATGTAAAGATAGAGAATCTTTTCCCGATCATAATGACACCAAAAGTATGAAATTTGACGGAAATCTCTCGGAATTATGCTCTCGCGAATTTAGCAGTCTTGACAATGTTTACGCATCGGCGATTTTGCGCACTTTGAGCCCTATTTTCGGCCAATTCCAGTGTACTAGTCAACAAAAATCATAACTATTTTGCTAGAACTCCATTTTTTCTACAGAGTAAGTACAAGAAACCACCCATTCACCGATTTCAACTATCCAATACAGTGGTCAGAATTTAGCAATTTTGCCAATTTCACACAAATTTCAAAAGATGCCTATTTCCAAATAGGGTCCAGAATAAAGAAGAAAAACATTCCTGGCACTAAAATAACATTTCCTTTGTTCATTAGTCACGTCCCCACACCCCTCTTACACTCTTTTGCTTTCCACTTTGAATTTTTATTCTCACAAAAAATAGAAGATTTACTATTATGCAGACTACTGCATTAGTGTAGAAATGGTATAAATAATATCGGCGCATTCGCGAAAGAATATCAGACTCACCAGTTGATGTGTATTGGACGCTTAGCATGATTTGTTTACTTTTGAACTTCGGTAAAAATCGAACATTTCTGCTACTTTGAGCTCAATTTCAAGGTACTTTTCATTGTAAAACCAGTCAAAATCATCTCAATTTCTGTAATATGTCTTCCATTCTATAAAATGAGACCAGGAAAACTAGAATACAACAATAAATACCATACGAAAATACAGTGCAAAGTCGCTGTTTTAATAAAAAAACATGGTCAAAGTTTTTTTTTTCTCATTACGCACTGTGTGCTGCCGGATATTTTTGATACTGCCTACCAGCTTTCTCTCACTAGATTTGAGGGCGCTAGAATTTAGACGTACTAGTACGTCAAAAACCCTGGTGCGTAAGCCATACTAGTATGTCCGAAACCCTGAAAGGGTTAACCCTTTGACTGTTTTGGTCGTGAGTATATGTCTTACGAGCCACCGTGTTTGACATCTATATACAGTGGACCCTCAACCAGCGATATTAATCCGTTCCTGAGAGCTCATCGTTAGTCAAAATTATCGTTAGTCAAGTTAATTTTCCCCATAAGAAATAATGGAAATCAAATTAATCCGTGCAAGACACCCAAAAGTATTGAAAAAAAAAAAAAATTTTACCACATGAAATATTAATTTTAATACACGCAAACTGAAGATTACATACACAGTTACATGACACTTACCTTTATTGAAGATCTGGTGATGATTGATGGGATGGAAGGAGGGGAGAGGTGTTAGTGTTTAGAAGGGGAATCCCGTTCCATTAGCAATTGAGGCAGCAAATCTTTTTCTGGGGTTACTTCCCTTGTTCTTTTAATGCCACTAGGACCAGCTTCAGAGTCACTGGACTTCTGTCGCACAACATATCTGTCCATAGATACCTGTACCTCTCGTTCCTTTATGACTTTCCTAAAGTGGTTCACAACATTGTCAGTGTACAGGTTGCCAACACGGCTTGCAGTAGCTGTGTCAGGGTGATTTTCATCAAAAAAGGTTTGCACTTCAAGCCACTTTGCACACATTTCCTTTATCTTAGAAGTAGGCAACTTCTTCAATTTCTCTCTCCCCTCCTCCGAAAGCAGTTTCCTCAGGTTCTGCCCTCTTGCTGTTCAAGATGATCTAGCGGGCTCATCAGTGGTTAGTTCTTCACTGTCTCCACCACCTACTCTTCCATATCCATCCCCACTAACCTCCAACCCCAAGGACTTCCCCAATGCCACAATGGATTCCTCAACTGGCATAGGATTCTCAGGGTTAGCCTCAAACAAAATCCCTTTTGTCTACACATTCTGGCCACAGTTTTTTCCAAGCAGAGTTCAATGTCCTCTTAGTCACTTCCTCCCAAGCCTTACCTATAATGTTCACACAATTGAGGATGGTAAAATGATCTTTCCAAAACTCTCTCAGAATCAGTTGAGTTTCTGAGGTCACTACAAAGCACCTTTAAAACATAGCTTTTGTGTAAAAGTTTCTTGAAGTTGGAAATAACCTGCTGGTCCATGGGCTGCAGGAGAGGAGTGGTATTAGGAGGCAAAAACTTCACCTTAATGAAGCTCATGTCCCTAGAAAGTCGCTCTGCCACATCTGTGGGATGACCAGGGGCATTGTCTAATACCAGGAGGCACTTAAGGTCTAATTTCTTTTCAATTAGGTAATTTTTCACATTGGGGGCAAATGCATGGTGTAACCATTCATAGAGAAAGTCCCTAGTGACCCATGCCTTACTGTTTGCCCTCCACAGCACACACAAATACCCTTGAGGACATGTTTTTCCTGAACACTCTGGGGGTTTCAGAGTGATACACCAATAAAGGCTTCACTTTGCAATCACCACTAGCACTGGCACACATCAACAGAGTAAGCCTGTCTTTCATAGGTTTTATGTCCTGGGAGTCCCCTTTCCTCCTGAGTAATGTACGTCCTGCTTGGCATTTTCTTCCAAAACAGGCCTGTTTCGTCACAATTAAACACTTGTTCAGGCTTCAGTCCTTCACTGTCTATGTACTCCTTGAGTCCTGCACATATTTTTCACCCGATTTGTGGTCTGAACTGGCAGCCTCACCATGCCTTATCACACTATGAATGCCACTACGATTCTTAAATCTCTCAAACCAACCTTTGCTGGCCTTAAATTCACTCACGTCACCACTAGTTGCAGGCATTTTTCTAATTAAATCCTCATGCAACTTCCTAGCCTTTTCACATATGATCGCTTGAGAGATGCTGTCTCCTGCTATCTGTTTCTCGTTTATCCACACCAAAAACAGTCTCTCAACATCTTCTTATCACTTGCGATCTCAGTTTCAAAAACTAGTTGAAACCTTTGGCAAGAACAGCTTCCCTTGACTGCCGTTTTCTTGCCCACAATAGTAGCGATGGTTGATTGGGGTTTATTATACAACCTGACCAGCTCAGAGATATGCACTCCACTTTCATATTTATCAATGATCTCTTTCTTCATCTCCATAGTAATTCTCACCCTTTTTGCTGTAGGGTTGGCACTAGAAGCTTTCTTGGGGCCCATGGTGCTTTTTTTGCGGGTTGCAATCACTAAAAAGGCTGTGATAATATGAAATGTTCCAGTTGTATGTTTGGAAGCGACCGCGGTGGCTGGCTGGCTTGTAAACACTGGCACCAAAGGGACAAGTGAGGCGGGCTCAGGCCAAAGTGGACGCGTATGGTACGGAACGAATAGCGCTGGTCGGGTTTTTAAGCGCTAGTCGAGGCAAATTTTTTTGCGTTAAAATGTATCGCTAGTCAGATTTATCGTTAATCGATGCCATCGCTGGTTGAGGGTCCACTGTACTCATAAATTCTAGTGGCTTCAAATCAAGCAGGAGAAAGCTGGTAGGCCCACGTGTGAGAGAATGGGTCTGTGTGGTCAGTGAGCACCATATATAAAAAAATCCTGCAGCACGTAGTGCATAATGAGACAAAAATAACTCGGACCATTTTTTAATTAAAATGCCGACTTTGTGGTCTATTTCCGTATAGTATTTATGGTTTTATTCTCATTTTCTTGGTCTCATTGGATAGAATGGAAAACATATTAGAGAAATAGAGGTGATTTTGAGTGGTTTTACTATGAAAAGAAAATTGAAATGGAGCTCAAAGTAGGGAAAAAGTTTGATTTTTGCCAATGTTCAAAAGGAAACAAATGATGTCATTGTCCAATAAATGTCCAAGTAGCCATTCTAATATGCAGTCATGAATGGGCTGACATTATTTATACAATACTGCAGTAGTCTGCATAACAGTAAATCTTCTATACACAAATAACCCCCACATAGAAGAGAGGAGCTTACGACGACGTTTCAGTCCGACTTGGACCATTTACAAAGTCACACTAACGAGAAGTAGAGCAGGTCGGGTATATATAGGCAGGAAGAGGTGGTGGCGGCGGTGGCGGTGGCGGCGGCAGCAGCAGCAGTAGTAGTGAAACCAATCAAAATCATCTCAATTTCTGTAATATGTCTTCCATTCTATAAAATGAGACCAGGAAAACTAGAATACAACCATATATACCATACGAAAATACAGTGGACCCCCGCATAGCGAACTTAATCCGTGCAAGAGGGCTGGTCGTTATGCGAAATGTTCGCGATGCAAATTAATTTTCCCCATAAGAAATAATGGAAATAAAATTAATCCGTGCAAGACACCCAAAAGTATGAAAAAAAAATTTTTTACCACAAAAAAATGTTAATTTTAGTACACACAAACTGAAAAAGGCATGCACAATTACATGACACTTACTTTTATTGAAGATCTGGTGAGATTGATGGGATGGGAGGTAGGGGAAAAGAGTGTTAGTGTTTAGAAGGGGAATCCCCTTCCATTAGGACTTGAGGTAGCAAGTCCTTTTCTGGGGT